AAAGCCTATTGTTTTCTCTTTTAGTACTGAAATATTGTTTTAAATCAATTTGTGGAAAACTTGGAAAATTGAAAAAACCGGAGCCAGTACACATTTGTGATTTACACGTTTGTATTTTCTGAACAATAATTTTATATCTTTTGTAGATGGTTAAGAAAATGAATAGATTTTTTGTTTTGAAACCATAAGCAAAGATCTCTAAATATTTAAAAATTTGTATCTTTCAAATATTTATGAGGGATGTACCAAGATAAAGTTAGTATCCTAGATAAAGAAAATAAAAATTTCCCGCAACAAAATAGAGCTAGAAAATTAATTTTGATATAATTTAGTTAATTAAATTGATATGAAATAACGTGATATCAATTACCAAAATTAATTAGGCAAAAAAACTGAAGTACAACTAGAAAAGAACTACACATGGTCGACTTCTAACATAGCCATTCGTTGAATAAAAAAAAAACTAGATTTCTTCATATATTATACATATTTTAAATGATGTATAAAAATAATAAAAAAATTGACTTGGTAATAATATATACTATATAAAAGTTATAATTGTACTCCAAAACAAGAAATGGCAATTTTAATCCAAAATATTCCTGAAAACTACTACGAAATTTAGTCAACGAATTGTAAATTAACACAATTATCAATTAGCAATCTGAAAAGTACATACAAATTACTCTAGAACAAGACATCTCTCAGCCTATTTTTTTATAACAAATCAATGATTGCAAGTGCAAAATTACCTAATATCATTAAAGTATTAAAAATTACTACGAAATTTGGTCAATGACTAAAAACAATATAAATTACCATTCAAAATAAGACAATTTTGAGATACAATTTTATAATCTATTAACTGTATATTTATTTAACGCAAAATGTAAATTAGAGATTATATCTGTAAATCGATTTTGATTTATTGATCTATTGTTTCGTATCAGAAAAGATAACGCTAATCACTGATACAATATAAAATCGTGCAATATTTTCGCGGAATTAAAATTTAGTAGTCTTTGAGTAATTGACGTTAATTTAGTATTATAGGCTTTTGAGATAAGGTTGCAGACATGGTGACGCCAAAAGTCAGGGATAAAGAACATTTTCATATTTATATAACAATAAAAAAGATATGTACTAATCTACATTCATATTTTGAATTATATTTAATTAGCCATAAAAATGTTAAACATTTTTCGAACAAATTAGCAGACTCGCATGTAGAAGTACTAGTATCCAATACCATATTAATATAATTGCAAAATTGGGTCATAATAATGTGAAGTAGAAAATTTAATCAGTATAGAATTTAAAAAAATTGAGCAGAATGAGGTGTACAAAGTAGGTGTTCAAATATAAAAGAAGTAAAAAATAAAATTAAAATGGTATTAAAAATTAAAATACTTAAATATTATTAAAGTATTAAAAAAAAGTTTAAATTAAAATTTTAGTTCCATATGTTAAAATTTTAATTAATATATGTAGATGACATAAAATATAAATTATAATTATTGGGTAGTTCAAATGCTAAACGCCTAAAATTTAGTTCGAATAGTATATTTTTACAATTTTTTTTTGACAAATTGGACTATTCATTCTCTAATTTTCCATGTATCTGGTTTAGGTAACTATAAGTTCAAACAATAAAAAAAATTACGCAACTGTGGTATTTGCAATCATAATGTATTTAAATCATAATTATATTATAATTATCGTGTTATAAGAAAATTGACCAAATCTTCCATTTGAAAAATATTGAATTTATTCATTATGATGCAATTTATAGCAGATTAGTCTTTTCCATATGCAATTTCGACATATACTCGACTTGTTAGTATTATACTAGTTATTTATATACTTGTTAGTAAGAATGTCTCTTAAAAAGAAATTATATTAGTATAGAAATTACAAGAAGAAAGTAGTAAAAGATTTACGTTCAGAAATTAATGAAGTTAAAAATATAATTAAGATAAAAATAACAAAACTATAAAGTTATTTTCTAAAATAGCAAAAAAAAAATTACTAAATGTCTTTAAAATACAGAAATTGTAATTATTATAAAAAAAAATAAAAATAAAGTTCCTGCCGCAATATACAACATAAATATAAAATATAAAGTTTTTTATTTTATTATAAAGTGTTTTTACATTTTTTAAGTAAAAGACGAATGTACCTATATAAATAGGTACTGGAAATCTTTGAAATATAAATAAATGTATAAGTTTTTTAGATCACTTCACAAATGAATGAAATGAAAAAATAGTTGACAACAGTAAGTAAAAATAAAAATTCCACAGAGAGTGAAAAAATGTGTCAGATTAGACAGATTACACCTCAGTCATCAAATTATCTATTACGCAAGAGTGTAATTTTGCATGTGAGGCGTTCTCTCGAATTAAATCTCATATTTCATGCCGAAACAATAAAAAGAAGCTTTTTCATAGTAATTACGATTGCATAATTGACCTGCTCATAATTTGAGCACATTCTAATTGTACCCAAACCGACATTTAGAGAAAGGCACAAAATCTACACGGAGAATATTTTCAGGCGACTAATTATTTTTATATTAGATTTAATCAACGATTCATTGTATTAATTAATGGTTTTGTTACTTGTAATGGGTGTTATGCCATAGTTTATTATCATTAGATTTTGTGCCAATATTTGCACATTATGAAATAGCTGGATGGAATTTTCAGGCAAATAATTGAAAGATGTTTCTGAAACTTATTTATATATTTGAGGAAAATCTAGTTTGCTCATCTAGCAATTTATTCAAACTTAACATGATTATATAATTAATGATCAAGCTAACTTCTCAAAATATTATAGGCCGATATAATATTTTAAAGAAATTGTTTCAACCATCAATTCTACAACCATGCAAAGTTTCATCCAATTCCTAGATGCGTGAATCTAGGTTTTCCTTTCAAAAATGTTGGAAAGTTCTGCAAAATCTAAACGTCACAAAAATATTACTAAGTATGTCTTTTTATCAAAATCAATTATTATCCAAACACAGACTGGTTGTATCCAGACATCAATTTTCCCAAAATTGCTAAATTTTCTGATTAAAATATGTTGCTCATCATGAAATTTAGGTAAATCAATACTAATCCAGAAATCCGCCAATAAAATGTATGCAATGTGGATAAAATAATCGATTAAGAGTAGATTATGCTTAAGGATTATCTATTATATTGATTTCTGAATACTTTGGGCGAACAATAAAGTCGTTTTGCAATTTTCAATGTAGGACAGAAAATGTAAAAAATTAAGACAATGGTATAAGGAGTGGCGTCAATACTATAATACGATAAACATGATTATCAATAATTATAATAAATGACTACTTTCCTTATAAGACTTTGTAAAAGCACAATTTTTACTTCTATAAAATGAAAGTACATAAAATGTATTTTTATAAATTTGCAATAATAATATACCTTTGAATAAATATTTATATCTTACCAATATTACGAAATGGAAGATGTTTTCCGTGTTTTTTTTATATCAATAAAAGGTTAGAGTAAATAATTCCATATTAACGAAAGCAAACAAAACTTAGCATTGTTCGATTATATGCGCCATTGTATTTTGCAATGAGCTATAGTCAATATTTATTATAACTGTTTTAATTATTTAGATGATGTCATTTTAGTGATAGATTTTGTATTGGTCTATATTTCCTTATTCAGCAATTGCAAAAGAAAAAAGAAGGAAATTGGATTTGAAACAAATTGATACTATGTATGGTAAAACTGTGTTTTGTAACTGCTGTTTTACATAACTTATAGTCTGAACTTGAAAAATTAATTATAATTGTATAAATAGTTTGGCTTATTTTATACAACGAATAAAGTCAAGAAAAATGAACAGAATATATATAATCCAGTTTCGACATAATGCGCAAACTCGTTTCAAGGCATTTTCTATTGGCGGGTTGAACCTAAATATAAGGGCTGGAAGCACCTCCTACTTGACTAAAGATCATCCCCTTGGAAAATCAACACAATTATAGAATAACTTATTTAAAATATTGAAAAAAAAAATATTTGAAAAATTTATCTTGTAGAATTGATCTATAAGTACGTCATTTTTCAAACTTCAACCAGCTTAGAACTGAAAATCAACCATGATTT